TTTTCCCCACCTCATTCCTGGATGCAAATATTACCCTGATACCAAAACCAGAGAAAGACCCAACCAAAACAGAGAACTACAGGACAATCTCCCTAAGAAATATAGGTGCAAAAATTCTCAATAAAATACTAGCCAACATAATGCAGGAAACCATCAAGAAGATTACATACCAGTACCAAGTGAGATTCATTCCTGGAATGCAGGAGTGGTTCAACATATGCAAATCAGTAAATATAATATGCCATATCAACAGAGCCAAACACAAAAATCATATGAGCATCTCAGTAGTTGCAGAAAAAGCTTTTGATCAGGTTCAACACTCATTCCTGATAAAAACTCTACAGAAAATCAGAAAAGATGGTCTTTACCTCAATGTGATAAAAGCCATCTATGAAACCAACATCCAAAAACATACTAAATGGACAAAAATTGAAATCTTTCACTCTAAAAATAGGAACAAGTCAAGGATGTCCACTATCATCCCTCCCATTCAATACAGTTCTGCAAACATTAGCCAGAACAATTAGACAAGAGAGAGAAATAAAAGGAATAAGGATAGGAAAGGAAGAAACTTAATTATCATTATTTGCAGTTGACATGATACTCTACATAGAAAACAAAAATTCCACCAAAAGGCTTATAGATTTAATAACCAAATTCAGTATCGTAACTGGATACAAAGTCAACACTCAAAAATCAATAGCATTCCTGTACAGAAACAACAAACTCACAGAGAGAAATTAGGGAAACCTCACCCTTCACAATAACATCCAAACAATGAAATACTTAAGAATCAATCTAATAAAGGAAGTAAAAGATCAGTACTTTGAAAATTACAGTACTCTGCAAAATGATATTGACGAGGATATCATAAAATAGAAAAATATCCCTTGCTCATTGTTGGGAGCTGCTGGATCTGGAAATTGGTCATATGTATGAGGGTAGGACAGAGCCAGAGTGCCTCAAGCAGTCAAGCTATCTCAGTCTTTCGAAAAACACCCTGCCCGGACAATTACAGTTATTAGTTGCTAGGCAACATTACCTCTTGTATACTAACTTTGCAAGAGTATAAATAAATGCCCCTACTGTTGATGTTAGGTCCTCTTGCCCATCAGGTAAGAGGTCACCTCCAACTGACCCCAGATGTTGTCTCTTGTCTTTATTTTCTAAATCCCCTCACTGTTTTCTTCCACAGACCACCAAGTCCTACAGCTCATGGATAGGAAGAACCACTATTATGAAAATAGCCATACTCCCAAAACTCTTACTCAGATTTAATGCAATCCCAATCAAAATACCATTATCCTACCTCAAAGATCTAAAGAAAAGATTCCTAAAATTCATTTGGAACAGAAGAGACCTATAACAGCAAAGGCAAGCCTGGGCAACAAAGGCAAGGCAGGAAGCATCACAATCTCTGATTTGAAATTATACTACAAAGCTCCTGTGATAAAATCAGCATGGTACTGGCAGAGAAACAGACCTGAGGATAAGTGGATCAGACTAGAAGATGCAGACCCAAGTACAAACACACTCAGCCAATTTATCTTTGACAAAGGGGCCAATCATGTTTGCTGGAACAAAGATAGCCTCTTCAATAAATGGTGCTGGAAAAACTGGCTTTCCATATGCTAAAGATTAAACCCAGACCCATATCCATCACCATGCACTAAAGTTAAAAATGGATCAAAGATCTACATATTAAAACAGAAACACTAAATATGGTGGTAGAGAGAATAGGCAGAACTCTTGAAGATATTCGTGTGGGCAAAGACTTTATGAACAAAACCTAAACCAGAAGAGAAATATTACATAATGTTAACAATTTACTTGGATCTCATCTTCTTAAAATGCTTTTTTATAACAAAGAAATCCACCAACAGAGTGAAGAGAAAACACAGAGTGGGAAAACATTTTTGCCAGGTGCTCCTCACACAAAGGAGTACTATCTAGAATATATAAAGAAGTAAAAAAAATCAGACCCCCCAGTGTAAAGACCCAAAACAAAAATGGCCATTTGAAATGAATGGATACTTCTCAGATGAAGAAGTAGAAATGGCAAATAAATATATGAAAAAATGTTCAGTATCACTGGTCATTTGACATCTCTAATTCTGAGCCACCAAGGTCATAGAACTGGCTTCAAACTCCTGTTTTGAACCTGTAATCAGTTCCCTTGAGAAGCATTTCCCATCCCCTTGTTCTTAGTCCATTTTGTGTAATGATTTTGGATATGTCACTTTGGATAATGTATAAAAAGAGGAAATATATTTGGCTAACAGAACTTGGAAGCTGAAGAATCCAAAGGCATGGCAACAAGATCTTCTCAGCATCTAGTAAAGGCCCTCTTGTGGCATCATCCCATGGCAGAAGGCAGAAGGGCAACAGAACATGAAAAAGGGAGAACAATAGAGGGTTGAATTTTATAACAAACTCACCCTTGAGATAATGGACCTAATCCTGCAGTGATGATATTAATCCATTTATGAACTGGTCAATTTGGGAATGTCCCACTTCTCAACAATGTTCCATTTGGGATTAAGATTCCAACACATAAAAACTGAGGGACTGATGCAAACGCCATCCTATTGTCCATTCCAGCTTCATAAATTATTCCAGCTGGATACTTTCCTATTTGTGGAAATCCAGAAAGGTAGCAGAAATAGAGCAACACTGCCCACTGAGTAGGGTGCTCATAGAGCCTCTCCTTCTCTACAGCAACACATACAGTTTGAAGAGTGGGACATCATCAGAACATTACCTGATGACCTGGCACCAAAATCACTTGCGGATGGGGCTGGGGATTTAGCTCAGTGGTAGAACGCTTGTCTAACAAGTGGGAGGCCCTGGGTTCAATCCTCAGCACCAAAAATTTAAAGAGCTAGAAAGAAAGAAAAAAGAAAGGAAGGAAGAAAGAAAGAAAGAAGTCACTGGAGGAACAGCATCTAGGAACAAGTGGCTCAGCAGAACACTGCACCACAGCAACAAAACAAACACACTCTAGCCACTGCACAGTCCAATTACTCTGGACCTCTGCCCTTCCAATGAGGTAAAGGGCCAGCAATGCCTACCAGTAGTGGCTTCTTGGGTGGGGAAATTTTGATATATAACCTGACAAGTCATTTTGTGAAAGTAGGATCAACCTAGATTTCAGAAGGTCTACCTTACTTGAATTTTGAAAACAAACTTTAGACTGTATATCAATATGATTGATAATATAATATCAGGAATAAAATAGATGAATTTCAACTCAATGAGAAGCCTAAATTTTGTATTACAAATATTTCCAATTGAATATAAGTGGTGATTCTGGGCAAGGTTGGAGCGAGGCACAGGTAAAATCGTGCAAAGTGATGGTATAATTATGTAAAGAGATTTACAGTATGGAAAAATCCAGTAACCTTAGCAGTATGTTCCATACTGTATGTGACAGGTCAATGGAAACCAGCACCATTTACCATGTAATCTGGGCTTGGAGCTCTAGAGATAGCCCTTTGGATGATAACACAGGCTATCTCAGGCAGGATCCTTGGTTGTGGAGAAAAGTCCAAAGGATCGCTGAGTCATGGATCCAAGCCATTTCTACCAATGGATTCGTAGATTCCAATAGCCCAGACAGTCTGCGTTGGAAAAACTCATTCGTGTATTCCTTAATTCCTACAACATGGCACATCCAAACCGTAAGTCCTTTCCCCTCTTGCGCAAGCACTGGTTCTGCAGAATCAGGATATGGGGAGAGTCTAGGTAAGGCCTCAGACCAGATGCTTCTGCAGCTTGGGGATTGTCTGCTGTCCTCTGGATACTGTCATAATAACACTATTAACCACATCCTGCCTAGTGATTGTTATGTCTGAAAAGGTGGTTATCTAGTCACCTCTCCTCTAGAAATAAATAGGGTGATATTTCTAATCCTGGCCATCATGAAAACATGCACAGGAAATATAGTGGTCAATAATTCATGACTGTCCTGCTCAAATGAAAAGCAGCTCATTTTTCTAAGACTTAGGGTCATCTTCCAACAGATTAGTGTATTGAGTTTGCTGTGATGGGTTGTAACTCATCCAAACCAAATGGAAAATGTGAGTTAAATTGCTGAGGGAAAGGGAAACGAGACAGAACCATGTTCAAGTGGAAATTAAATGTCCGATTTTATGATCATCTTTCACATTTGCACCTGTGAAAAGTGCCTGGAACGTGTTAGAGGTGGTACAGAAAGCACTGCTGTGTACCTAGACTAAGACTTTCCCATTCCTGACCCCAGGGGGCCTTCTTGTTACCAAGCAGGCACTGCAAGCACAGAAGACACACTTAGTTTCTTTCTTCCAGACCGACAAACAATAGAAAACTTTCCACAAGGCCACATTGCCACTGGCTGGCAGGCTCAGGACAATAGCTCTGTGCTACTTTCAACGCATTTTCACAAGGGTAGAAACCAGATTTGTGCCAGGGCCCCTCTATCTACTGGAAGAGAATCAGACCCCTGAGATTTTTCCCTCTTTGAGGAGGATTGTAGTCCTGCAGCCCAGCTCAAGCTCCTCCTCCACGAGTCTTCCCGCCCCAGCCAGAACCGCAGGTCTCTAGATTCAGAGGTTGAACCCGGCCCCAACCTGTCCTTGCCCCTACAAGCCCCCGCCCCCCGCCGTGCCTCAGCTGAAGCGGGTGGGGTAAGACCCTCCTTTTCAAATTCCATGAGCGAAAAGAGCAAAGGCGTGGCTTGGAGAATGGACCACAGATGGAACAGGGGGTTTCGGTTTGGCAGCCTGCAGGAGTGGGGCCGTTGGGAGTTGCTGGGCGCCTGCCTTTCTCTCAACACATAGTGTCACCTTCCATGGCCTTTTGTACGACTCGCCGCGGAAAATTGTGTACCTTCTTATCGCTCTTTGTCACCTTCAGTGCAATACTGTAAAAACCAGAACGCTGATAGAACTCGTGTTGCCCACTGGCAGTGGTACGTCCCTCTGCAGAGCTATTGCGCGTGCGCTACGCAGCGAGTGCTGTACCTTGGTGGGGGGGCTGACGGGAAGCGGAAGTGCTCGGGGGACCAGAGAGGGTGGGCCCCGCCAGCACAGGCTGTGGTGACCTGCCGCTGATCTTTGGGGCCTTGACAGAGAAGTAAGGGGAGGGGTGGTGTGGTGGGTTTTGTTGGGAGGGATGGCCCGGCCGAGAAGTCGTGGGTTGGCGCTCCCGTCGGGTCCAGTGATAGGGGCGGTGGGGTGAGTGTTCAGGTCGAAGCTTGCGGATGAGCGAGTGGTAAATGCGTTAATGCATTGAATCGTTAAGCGACTGCTTGTCATGTGTTAGGTAGAGGCCAGGCGCTGAGGCAGGTCTTTCACGGTCATCTTCAGGGGAGTCCAGTGCGGTAGTGCTGCGATTAGCTTCATTGCAGACAGAGAGGAAGCAAGAGAGTGGACAGCTGTCCCAAATTGCGTAGGTAACAAATCCGACCGATTCTTTTTCTTTTCCGTGTAGCCCTTATCCATTTATAATGTCCCCTATTATTTATCAGGTCCCTTTGTTTTTTGTGTGGCCCCTCGTTAGGTTGTAATCTCTGAAGGAACAGAGAAATCGAGATTTTGTTCACTGACGTATTTCCAAATCGAAGGCACTTAACTTGTGTCTGAAATGAATACAGGTGGCACAGCAGTCTGTCAGTTTCTTCTAGACCAGGATTCCTAATGCTGCAGTGTTAAGCTCAGTGGTATTAGCTGAAGTCCTGTTAGCTTTTGAAACTAAAATGAGGCATTTTGTTGAATAAAATCTTTAGGGCTTACTCAGCGTTGTCCCACAGAGGGTAGCCTAGTGGTTGTTAATGGAACCTTCTAGGTTATTGGTGTTTCCAGGATAAAGTGCATACCTGAAACCACTGCTCACCAACCAGACTATCTACACTCCAGTTTCCTCTGTTAGCTTGAGAAGCCCCAGTATGTGGCCACAGGAGGTGGATTCCGTGGGTGGCAGGCAGAGATCTGTTGCTGCAATAATGGCCACAGCTGAGCCAAAGTTGTCTTTCATTTCTTTGGTTCTGGGAACAAGAGAGCTTCTCTGAGGCAAGTGGAGAAGCCCCAGAGCCCAGATCCTTGAGGCAGAGGCAGGAGGCTCACAGGACAGCAGTCCCTCCTAGCAGCTGAGAGAGATGAAGGCTGGCTGAATTTGCAGGCATTCACCAGGACCGTGTGCCAGTAGACAGTTTGATTCCTGCTGTGGGAGAGAGAGGTGAAAGTGTCAGGTGGATGGCGGCATAGGTGGGGCAGCTGCACCCCACAGTGACTGCAAAGGCAGGATGAGGCTGGGGAGGGCCACATCCAGCCTCAGAGCACTCTCTCCTCCCCTAGCCCATGTAAGTGCACAGCGTCATACTCCCTTCTCTGCCATTGGTCTTTCTGGATTTGAGTCAGTCTCTTAGCATCAACATCACACCTGCCTCCAGGGCACATGCTGGATTTGCCTCTGGCCCGACCAAAGTGCAGAAAGTAGTATTTTATAGTCATAGACTTTGGAATTTCAGAGTAGTTCACAGGTTTGCTTGCATTCTGCTCTGTTCTCTCCTTTTGATGCTTTCTGCAACTGAGCCCGAGAACATTAACCTTCATGACGCTGAACTCTGTTGTCCTGATGCTCTTGTGGTGATTGCTGTGATTTAAATGGTTCCTCTGCCTGCAGCTTCTTGCTGAATCTATGTTTTCATAACTACCAAACAAGGAAGAATGTGGCAATCAAAGCAAATGGTGGGAAAGGAAGCAATGAGCAGGCAGGGACAAGGTAGTTAGAAGGCCAAATGAAGAGTGGAGGGTCAGCAGGGCAAGTTTCCAGCTCCACATAAAACTGATAGTGCTGGGCTGTGACTCATCTGCCCCCAACTCCCCTTTCCCTCAGCCCTGCTTAGTTTCCTTACCCTGAACCACATCAAGAGATCCTTCACATCCACAATTTGCTGAGGGTCTTTTCACATCAATTCAGTATATAATAGATGATTTTTAATCATTTTAAAGTTTTATTTTGGTGGTAATTAATATCCATTGTCAGACTGGGGATATAGCTCAGTGGCACAAGTGCCTGCCTGGCAAGCACAAGGTCCTGAGTTTGATTCCTGCTACCAAAAAAAATCCATTGTCAAAAATGAGATAATGAAGATAAAAAATAAATTGAAATTATTCAAAGGTAACAAATGTCAACGTTTTATTTTTTTTTTTTTTTGGTCTTTTTTTTGAGACATGGTCTCACTATGCAGTTCAGGCTGGCCTTGAGCTCACTTTGTAGCCCAGGCTGGTCTCGAACTCGCAACAATTCTCCTGCCTCAGCCTCCCAAGTGCTGGGATTACAGGCGTGTGCCACCATGCCCAGTGACATTTTAATAAATGCTCTTTTGGATTTCATATATGAACATATTGCTTAAGATAAGTGGGAACACACTTTGCTCTCACTTTTTATAACTTGCTTTTAACATGTTAAACACTAAAAGTTCCACACCATTTAAAACTATGCAGCATGCCTATTTTTGTGTGTGTCAGTTTTTAAACAGTTCCCTTTGCTGGGATTAGTTGCTTTCAAAGTTTTTTTTTTTTTTAATTTTAAAGATAAAAGAATGAAAACATATTAACAAACACACAGACATAAAACAACACAAATACAATAAAAGCAATACAGGATTTCAGACAAGGTGATAGGAAATTAACCTCAAATTGTACAGATTCAAGGTAATCCCAATTAAAATACCATTAGTATACCTCACAGATCTAGAGAAAACATTCCTAAAATTCATCTGGAACCAGAAGAGATCCAGAATAGTAAAAGCTTCCAAAGTTTTAAATGGTGACCACAGTGAACCTCTTTTCAGCTTCATGACAAATTTCTAGTAATTGAATTTTGGAGATAGGTGTCTTTAAACATAAGGTATACATTTGTTTAATAGGGGAAAACAAATTCCATGTGCCAAACCTTCACGATTATCAGAGTGCGAAGGGAACTGGCTGGGCTACCAAGACACGTTTCCTCCCCAGGGTGCAAGGGTGACTATTATAAGTCTGGTGATGATGTTCTCATGGCTTTACTCACTGATCTCGACCTGCGTAATTGTGTCTTTGTAGACCTCCATCCGACAGAGCAGTATGGCAGTGTCCCAGGTGAGTTCCTAATTTACCCCAACTTTGTCTTTCAGTCAAGTTGAGCAACTTTTGGAAATGTGTATAGCAAGGTTCAGTAAGCCAGTTGTCCCCTCTGTTCCTGATGTTTTCTTTTCCACTTGTTGACTGCCTTATGGAGAAAGATAGATGGACAGGGGTGGGGAGAAACAGAAGAAAAGACAGTTTTTCATTCCTTCCTTTGGCATCTGTACCTCACCTTTCTTTTCTCCTTGAATGTGTTTTTAAATATATACACTCATTCTGCTATTTGCCTTTCTTTGCTTTCAGACCCCTTGTGCTTATTCTTACAGTTAAAATAATGAAGATTAATGTGTACTTAATGTTTTAATGTGCACACACAAAAATAGTAGCAAAAATTATCCATTTCTCCTTCCCCTGGTAGCCATAGTCTTCCTCAGAGATACTCACTGTGAACACATTGGGTGTTAATAATGCTGTGGATGCATTTATGTCAATTGATTTAACTAACGATATATATATATATATATATATATATATATATATATGCGCACACACATGTGTGTATATTCATATATAACTGCCTTCATCCTGGCATATCCATTTTTACCACCTGATTGATTATATTCATAATGATGTTCCTTGTCACTATAAAGATTAGTTGAATTCCAGTTTCTTAGTGTGGATTTATCACTTAGTTATTTGTCTATTGATGGATATTTAGGTTTTAATTTTCTTTTAATGTTATAAGCAGTATCTCATGAACAACTTTCTGCATATCTGTTCTATGGTACAGGTGTTTATGGAAGGTATACCTGGCATTTGTATTTTCGAATCAAATGTACTAGCACTTCAAGTTGGCCCTGAGTCTGTACTAATTACTACTTTTGCAAAATTTTTAAGACCAGATAATTTTTATGTTTGAGGTTTTCAGGTTAGTGAAAGATGAAAAGGAATCTAATTCATTTTATGAATCCACTTAAGCCTAAGTGTGATGAAAGTATTACAAATGAGAAAATTATAGATGAGTTTCATTAAAGAATAGAGATATGTCAAAATTCTAAAACCATATTCTGAATAGAGCATTAACAAACCAAATTGAACATGTGGTGCAGTAATTTTTACTAATTATAAGAAGTTTGAAAAAAGCTTTTGTTCAACAAAATGGAGAGAAATAATTCTCTCAACCTACCCCCATGTCTTCTCTTCCTTCAGTTTTTCATATATTCTTTCAGAGATCATATATGCTTATGTATCTGTCTAGATACATGAGTCCATGGTTATTATCTTTCATATGATATATGAGTTTATAAGTGAGGTTTTTTCCTTTTTCTAGACTGAAGCCTTTTGAGATTAGGAGATATATCTCATATTAATTTCTTTTTTTTTTTTTTTTTTTAGTTTTTTGAGACAGGGTCTGGCTTTGTAGTTCAGGCTGGCCTTAAACTCACTGTGTAGCGCCAGGATGCCCTTGAACTCATGGCAATCCTCCTGCCTCAGCTTTCCAAGTGCTGAAATAACAGGCATGTGTCACCATACCTGGCAATTTCTTATTAATGTTTATATCCACAGAACTTATCAGTTTGGTCTCTATTCAGTAAATATGTGTTGAATGAATGAATTTCAGTAATAATATATTTCTGACACTTTTTCTCCTATAAAGTTTCAAATAATTTTAGTTATATAAAGATGCTATATTCAGTAGTGCCCCCCTCCACCACACTGCAGCATGGCCTTTTGTGGTTTCACTTACCCACAATCAACTGTGATCTAAAAATATGAAATGGAAAATACCAGAAATGAACGTAAATTTTAACTTGCATACTATTCTGAGTAATACAGTGAGATCTTGCACTATCCTGCCTCGTCATGCCAGGATATCCCTTTATCCAGTATATCCACAAGGTATATATTACCCACTTGTTAGTCACTTAGTAGCTGTCTGTTTTATCAGATCAAGTATCAAAGTATCATAGTCTTTGTGTTCATGTAAAATTTATGTAGTAATCTAATATTACATCACAATGCTTGTATCATTCACCTCATTTTATTTCATTATATAAGCACTATATCATCCCACATCAACACAAGAGCAAATAGTACAAGATATTCTGAAAGAGAATACATTCACATGCATATTCTTACAGTATATTATAGTTGTTCTATTTTATTACTGTTGTTACTATCTTAATGTGCCTATTTTATAAATTAAACTGCACTGTAGGTATGTATGCATAAAGTTAGGATATAAAGGGATTCAAGAACTATCCATGGATTCAGGCATCTACTGGAGGTCTTGATTATCCCCTGCAGGTAATGGGGATCTACCCACTTATTAGCCAGTAGCTCTCTGATTTATCTGATCAACTGTCAAAGTATCATAGTCTTTGTGTTCATGTAACCTTTATGTAGTAATATAACATTATATCACAATGCCTGTATCGTTTGCCTCATTTTATCTCATTATATAATCACTATATTATCCCACTCTCCATGGATTCAGGCCTATACTGGGGTTTTTGAACATATCCCTTGCAGATAATGGGGAATTACTACGCTAAAATGTGTCAGTGAAAGACATTACTGTAGTGTGTAGTTTTTTAAAAAAGTGGGTGATAAGACCAGATCACCTGGATTTAATGCCTGTTTCCAAGCTGTTTGACATGGGATAGTTACAGTACACACTGTAGACCTCACAGTCCTCATCTATCAAGTTTGTCCTAGGGTGGTGGTCTGGATCTAATTCTTTAGCACACATAAAGGACTTGGAATGACACAGAATAAGCCCTCAGTGTGCGGGAGGTGTCATGACCAGGTCCCCTGGGCTGATCCCTTTGTGCTGAAGAGGAATGTGCTATTACAGGAATCACTGAGCTTCAGGGATGTGTTTGTGGACTTCACCCTAGAGGAGTGGCAGCAGCTGGACTCTGCTCAGAAGAACCTCTACAGGGATGTCATGCTCGAGAACTACAGCCACCTGGTGTCTGTGGGTGAGGGACCACTGCACGGAGTGATGTAGAATGCCCCCACTTGTGTCTCCCTCAGCACCTGCTTCTAGCGCAGGGGTGTTGACACCTCAGTGAGTTTGGGCAGAAGGCTCACTGTCCTAGTCCGTTTGGATGCTGGACAGGATATTTGTGCGGTCACCTTCTGGATGAATGGCCGTGTGTGTGAGGCACTCACTGCGGCTGTCCCATCTTCAGCCTTTGGGGGTGGGCCTTGGTCTGGAGAGCCTCCAGCACCAATAACAAAGGACTCTGTCATTTCCCCGGCAGGGTATCTAGTTGCCCAATCAGATGCGATCTTCAGCTTGGGACAAGGAGAAGAGGCCTGGGGGGCAGACAGAAGACCCCAGATGAGGAGCTTTCCAGGTGAGCACACACCAGGTGAGTTGGGCCAGGGACACAGAACCTGATTGTCAGTGAAGACTTGACCCCTGGAATGCTCACAAGAGCTCTTCTTGGCCCCCAGACATGCGGACATGACTCTGGCCCAGTGAACAAGCTGTTGTCATATCCAAATGAGGCCACCACCTGCCAGCCTTTTCCAGTCTTCGTGTTCTTCACCTGACATCCAGAGTGGCTTTGTTCTGAGACCCCATCTCTACCTTTGATTTGCTAGTGACAAGTGCCAAACCTCTTATTCCTTTCCCCTCCTTTCTAGGAGCTTTGAGGGATTTCTCACCTTCTTGGGCATTGGTGTTTTCTCAGTGTGATATTGGGAGTTGTTTTCAACCTCGGGGAAATTATCCTGCCTGATTTATTGCAGTTGCTGTGGACAAAGAAGCTTTTCTAGTGACCTTTAACTCTGCCAGGCCAGGTATGCACTATGCTCTCTTCTACCCTTGCTTGGAGACCGAACACTGTAAACTTTTACACAGTTTCTTTTTTCTCTTTTCCTTCTCAGATTCTTGGAGATCTGATTTGATACTGCCTATTGCCAGATTCCTCTTATTGGTGCTTCCTTCCTACTCAGTTTTTGTTTTCTGTATTATCTGCTTAATTGATGAATTAATTAAAATAGAAATAAACTTGAGAGGCTGTCACACCCAGGTGAAATACTTCAGTGATTCCTTTCAGTCTTGGGGAGAGCTGCTTTCTTCCTTGGCTGGTTGTTTGTTTATTTTTGCTCTGGTGTGGTTATGGAGAACCAGAAAGTACACAATAGTTGGCCTCCTCATTCTCTACCATTTGTGGTACCCTCCCATGGGCCCAGCCCAAAGAAGTCTGTTGAAACAGTCTTACTCTTCAGCGTGTGGCCTGTGGACCAGCAGCCTGGGCATTGGACACAGGACTCTTAAGTGGAAGTGTAGAATTTACTGAGTCAGAATCTGCATTTCAACAAGCTCCCAGGGAACCCCTAAGCTGAGGAAAATTGAGAAGCATTGCTTGTTAAATGTACATCTCAGAGCATCAGTTGTCTTCAGCTGTGGCCCTGCAGACATACAGGTGACTCCCTAGCTGGCTTCTTCAGAGCCCAGTGTTACTTGGCAAATGTGTCCGCTCTCTAGAGCCTTCTGGGCTGACCTGTGGGGCTCCTGATGCTCTGCAGCTTCTCCTGAGTGTGTTTTCTTTCAGCTTTAATGTCCTCCTTCGGGCTCAGTGAAGTCCCATATCTGCTGCTGATAGAGATGCCTATGATTTCTGATGTGCTGATGGCACACTTTCTTATATCCGGTGATTCCTGGAATTGTAAAGATTGTGCATGTGGTTCTCATTCCAGTGGTATCCTGAAAGGGATGAAAAATATACTCAGACAAGGTCCACCCTCCTGAGTCCTAATGCCCTTATTTTCAAAGCTACATTCTATTCAAATATTGGTGTACACATGTTCAGCCCCAGAGTGCAGAATGCTATAGGAAGAAAACTAATCCAAGAGGCATTCCCAGCCACACCGTCCAAGGGCAGCCTCTTCTTAAACTTTCTTCAGTATTGTCAGTTCTGGTGAGTACTCCCATGGGCCTATAAAATGTCTTTATACCTCCATTTCTTGAATTTTCAGTTTTATCTACCTTATATGAAAAGTAGGGATTTGGCTCACTTACTTTTTGACCGTCTGCTCCTCAGCTCTTCATATTTGTTAAGTTCTTCTTTTTATTTCCTTAATTGGTGATGTTTTAAACTTTAAACTATAGCCTTTATTTTTCCATTCCATGTGGTAACTTAAAATCTAGCTAAGTACCCTTAGCTATTTTCATGACCTAGAACACAAATCCTTAGAGATCAGAGCATGTCTTGTTCTAATTTACCCCACTGTGGGGCTGGTGGAAAACAATGAATAAATACTGTATTGATTATTTTGGACCTGGACAGAGGAAGGAGGTTTGTTATCCATCCACATACAAGTGGCTAAGAGCATGGCTCTTGGAACCACACAACCTGTGTTCAAATTCTAGCCAGTTCTCTCACTAGCTGTCATGTGAACACACTACTTTGCTTCACTTCACCTGCTATAGAATGAAGCTAATCATAAAGCTTAGTGATTATCAGAAGTTAATGAGTTTCTGTATGTAAAACACCTAAAAGGGTACCTGGCATAAAGAAAGCTGTCAGGGAGGTGTCTGTTTTTGATATACATATGGAAGTTTCTTTAAAATGTAGTGATTGTTAACCAGGAGATGTGTAACCTGTGAAACTCTCAGAATACTCACGAGTGGACCCTGCTTTCTAGAAATTGTTTCAGAAAGCCTGGTAGGGGCCAGGTTATGTGTATTTTGAGTAACATTCTAGAAAGTATCATGCCTATGCCAAATTAATATACTCTGCTTGAAATATCTACGGGGGGGATTCCAAAGGAATGGGAGGCACTGCAAGACCATCATCCAGGAGCATGGGAAGACAGGAGCATGGGGACTCTTTCCTAGACAACACTGAACTCCTAGGGTAGAACCAGAAAGCAACTTTAACTTCTGCCCCATTGCTCCGTACTTAAATTTCTTTCATGGACTGTGATTTTCCTCATCCGTGATTGAACTCTGGCATTTCTCTGGTCATTCTGAGACAATAAAAGTCTCCTAGGGACTGTTCATCTCATGAGTAGCCTCACTGTAGTAATAAGAACTGTCCAGTTTTATGTAGTAGTGCAGACTTTGAAACTTATTCAGTTTGTTGATCTTTCTACAGAAAGAACTTTTGCCTAATTAATTTCACTGTTTCTCTTCTGTTTTGATGATTTCTCCTTTTATTTTCTCTAGTTTGGATTTACATTGCATTTATTCACCTAGCTTTTTTCTTCAACATTTTATTAGGAAAAGTTTTATAGAGAACAAATAAAGGTAAAGATTGAAGATTCATATAATACCTCCACCTAGATTCAACAATGAACATTTCACTATATCTCTTACATGTCTTGTCTAACAATTGCCGTCATTCGATCAATTCACCTTAATTGTTTGCAGTGCACTTTAATTTGCAAAGATGTACTCATCACCTCTAATACCTCCATAAGCATATCATTAAGATTTCAATGTTTGTTAGTATTTTGTTTATCACTAACACATAGGAGATATTTTGGCACCATGCATTCTTTGGTTATATGTGTGCTTATACAGTAGCATAATTCCTTGTGTGTATTTTCTTTGTTTATCATATATATGCTGATGTTACTGTGTTGCCTTTTTAAAATGAGATTTATTGAAGTATAATGAACATGCCATGAAGTTCACCTTTCCAAGGTTTATGTAACCACAATCAAAATATTCAACATTTTCATCCCTTTCCAAACTTCTTTTTATAATTAAATATCTCTCTCCATCCAAGGCATCATTTCTTTTCCTTTCAGTTTAGTTTTTTTTCTTGAGTGACAAATAAATGAGTCATAAATGACTTATTTCACTTACCTTAATGCTTTTTAGGTTCATCCATGTTGTGGCATGTATCAACACTTCGTTCCTTTCTTTTAATCTGAGTAATGTTCCTGTTTGTTTATCAATGGACCGGTTAAAGCACATTTGAATTGTTCCTGGTTTTGGTTATTTTGAATGAAGCTTGTACAGGTACTGTATTTGTATGGACCTATGTTTTCATATATTTTCAGTAAATATCTAGACTGGGATTGCTTGGTCAAATGGTAAGCATATGTTTAACTTTGTAAGACATTGCCAAACTATTTTCCAATGTGACTATACTATTTTGTCTTCTCACCAACAGCACACCTTTATAGTATGGGCATAGGAAGATTGCATTGTGATTCAGATTTGCATCTCTGTAATAATTAGTGATGTTGCGCATGTTGTCATGTGCAAATTTGCCATCTGTATATCTTCTGTGGTTAATTATCTGTTGTGATCTTTGTTGTTAAATTGTGAGAGTTCTTCTTATATTCTTAATGTAAGTCCTTAGCAGCTGTGTATTTTCCAACTATTCCTGGGCTATGGCTTGTTTTAAAATTCAGAAACCTTGTTTTAATTTTTGATGAAATTCAGTTAATATTAAGGTTTCCTTTTATGCTTTTACATTTTCTGTCCTGTGTAGCAAATCTCTAACCAGGATAACAAAAACTTTTTTCATGTTTTCTTCCAGGAGATCTATAATTTTAGTTTTTATAGACTTAAGTCTATGACTGGTAATGGGTTATTTTTATATCTGGTGTGAGGTAAGGATCAGTATTCCTTTGTATCACTTTTGTATATGCATTTCCAATTGTGCCAGTAACATTTTTGAAAAAGCTATTGTTAATTAATTTACTTTGGAATCCATTTTGAATATTATTTGAACTCGTGTCAATCTGTGTGCCAGTATCACACTGTCTTAATTACTACAGCCTTTTCATTAAGTGCTTAAATTTATTAAGAACTCTAACTTTGTTTTTCTTTTCATAACATTTTGGCTATTTTAGGTGCTTAGTATTTCACATAAATTTTAGAATCAGCTTTCCAACTTTTGCAAAAACCCTGTAAAGGATTTTGTTTGAGATTGCATTGAATCTGTGGATCATTGATATGCTAACTATATGTCTTCTAATTCATAAATTTCGTACATCTCTCCATTTATTTAGACGTTTTAAATTTTATATCAGTAATATTTTGCAGTTTTGAATGGACAGCTCTTACAATATTTTAATCTACACGTATGTTTTATGTTCTTATAAGGTAATATAAATCGTGTGTATACACACACACACACACACACACATATATATATATTTGTCTTATATTTTAGTTTCATATTGGTTAATTCAAGTTTTTGGACATATAATTGATTTTTCTATATTGCTTTTATATCCTGGGACCTTTCATAGCTCACATATTAGTGCTAGTAGTTCTTTTACAGATGGCTTGCAATTTTCTACATAAATAATTATGTAATTATGAATAAGAACAGTTTCTTTCTAATTCTGGATACCCTTGCTTCTTTTTCTTGCCTTATTGTACTTTCTAGGATCTTCTGTATAATGTTGAAAAGGAGTAGGGAGGGTAACATATTTGCCTCGATCCTAATCTTAGGACAAAAGCATTCACTTTCTTACCATTGAGAAAACTTTACTTGTAGGATTTTTTTCATAGATAACCTGTTAAAGGCTGAGGATGTTTCCTTCTAATCCTGGCTTTCTGAGAGTTTTTATCATGAATGAATGTTGGACATGTTTTTTATGGATCAATTGATATCATTGTATTTTTTCTCCTTTAGACTATATTTTATGTAATTATTGATATTGAATTTAGCCCTATCGGTATTTCTGTTCTGTTTACTCCTTTCTCTTTCTTTTTTTGTTGTTCTGCTTCCCCATTGTTCTTCTTTTTGGAATATTTTACTATTTTTTAAATTTATCTTTTTTATTTTTATACAATTGTAGGTATTCATGCACTTGTCAAAGATACTATAGAGACCTTGTGTACCCTTGACCCAGTTTCCCACAGTGGTGATATCTTGAAAGATTATAGTAAAAATCACAGCCAGGGAATTGACATTGATAAAATCAAGATACATAACACATTCCCATCACTGCAAGGATCCCTTTTATTGTCATTTTATAGCCATACCCATTCCCTCCTACTTCAACTCTTCCTTAAACCCTGGCAAATACTAAATTGTTCTCCATTTCTATAATGTCAAGACTATTATATGATGGGGTCAAACAGTATGAAACTGTGGGTTTGGATCTTTTCACTCAGCATAATTCTCTGAGCATAAGTCTCTGAAGATTCATCCTGTTGTGTATACAAATAGTTTCTTCCTTTTAGTCACTAAGCAATAATTCACCAAATGGTGCACTACACTTTGATTAACCATTCACACTTTGAAGGACATTCCTGTTTTCAACTTTATTGGTTTCCATTCTCACTTGTATATTGCACTCCTTGATCTTTCTTCATTTCTAATGTAATACATTCAGTTCTGTAACTGTCCCTCCAAACACTGTTTTCACAGTGTCCCACAATTTATGTCATATTTTCATTTTGTTCAAAATACTGTAAAATTTCCCTTAAGACTTATTTAGAAGTAAGTATATCTTTAAATTTCCAAATATTTGGGGTTTTACAAGTGTCTTTGTCTGACAGATTTCTGGCTTAATACTGTTATTGTACATAATATGATTTCTTATAAGTTTGTTACAATTTGTTTAAGACCCAGAATGTGGCTTATCTTAGTGAATGTTTCATATGTACTTGAAAAGAATGTGTATTTTGCTGTTGTTGGATGCAGTTTTTTAATTAATGCCAATTAGATGGCATTGGCTGATAGTGCTGTTCACCTTATCTATATCCCTGTTGGTTTTCTGTCTACTTGTTCTATCAATTATTGAGAGAAAGAGTGTTGAAGTCTCCAACAATAATTGTGGATTTGTCTGTTTCTCTTTCAGATGTATCCATTTTTGCCTCATGTATTTTGAAGTGCTGTTATTAGGTACATACACTTTTAGGATTGTTATTTCTTCTTGGAGAATTGACCATTTTATCATTTCATAATGTCGTTCTTTGTTCCAGAAAATCTTTCTTGTTCTTAAGTCATTGTCTGAAATTAATGTGGTTATTTCAGCTTTCTTTTGGCAAGGATTTCATGGGTATACATCCATCCCCTTACTTTTTTTCAACTAATAGACTTTTTAACAGTAGTTTTAGATGGACAATAGAGTAGACCAGCTAGTATAGAAAATTTCCTTATACCCCTGTCTTTCCCTCTCCATGTTTTCCCTAGTAATAACATCTTACACTAGTATACTTGTTATAATTTATGTGTGAATGTCGATACATTATTATCAACTAAAGTCCATATTTTACATTAAGGTTTAATCTTTGTGTTGTGTAGTTTTATGGATTTCAGCAAATGCATAAAAATCCACTATTACCATGTCATACAGAATAATTTCACTACCTTAAAAATCCCTTGCGCTTCCCCTTTCATCCTTTCTCCCCTTCCTCCCAGGAAGCATTGTTCTTTTTCCTGTCTCTAAAGTTTTGCCTTTCCCAAAATGTCATGTAGTTTAAATCGTACAGAATATAGCCTTTTCAGACCGACTTCTTTCAAATAGCAATATACATTTAAGTTTCTTCCATGTCTATCCATGGCTTTATAGTACATTTCTTTTTATTGCTAAATACTATTCCATTGTATGGATGTACCGCTTTGTTTATCCACTCACCTATCGAAGGACATCTGGCATCTTAATTACTTCAAGTTTGGGGCCATTATGAATAAAGCCACTATAAACATCCATGCGTAGACTTTTCTGTGGACATAAATTTTCAACTCATTGTGGTTCATTTTCTTTTGAAATTTATAATTTTGACTGTGAACTCCCTTTCAGTGAGAGTTCTTTTCCATAGAATTTCTGTGTACTGTAAGCTATAAAAACATTACTGTAGAACTATTTAGAGAGGGGGACACACTGATTTTACTAATGCAGGGCCAATTTTTAGGTGAATTTATCCACTTGGGGGTTTTGGATTATATTTCAAATGTGCATTGGCAATGTACTCCCACATAATTACAAGACTAGGGTTCTGATTTCTTAAGTAACTCCTGATTCTTCTTACCATTTTTATTATCTAATGGGTGCCATCTTTCTAATTCCAATATTACAAAAAGAGATGGTCTTTGTGACTTCCAGCTTTAAATTGTTAGCTCAGTTCTCTGCACATTTGTACCCTATAGTTTGGAATTCACTCCACATTCATGATAAGAGCTTTAGTATCTTAACTGCAAAGTCATACAGATTCAATTTTTATTTAGCCCCTCACTTTAAATTTCTTCTTCATTTTTGTCACATGGTACATTTTCTTGATTTTGAGCTAGACTGCATATTACATTTTTTTTTAACTTGGTCTACCATTTGTTTGCATTTGCAGTCAGGAAAGATGGGGGTGGTGGGACATGGAGAGGATCCATCCACATCAGTTTAAGTCATGTTGATAGTAATTCACCACAGGACATTTAGGCTTAATGTTATAACATGTAGAAAGATGTACAAGTTTGATGATTCTTCATATCTTTTCCCTAGAAGTCTGGCAAGTTGATGGGTGGATAGATAACTACAAGGAAAGCCAAGACAACCCCCTGTGACAACCTGCATTCAGAGATGAGGAAATACTGAAGGATTAAAGGGGCCAAGAATGTACAGCATACAGAAAAATCATATATGTGAGCACAGACTTTGTTTCTATAATTCAAAGACCCCCTAAATATTATTCATGGAGAAAGTGTTCAACATAATTTAAGCTTTCTTAGTTAAAACAAAAGCTATGTAAGAAAGATAATGGGTGTAAAGCATATTGGAAATTATACCTCTGTTCCAAACTTGATAAAGCAGGGAAACTTCATAAACCTGCAGAGAAATTATTTGAAACCAATCAACAAGGAAAAACTCTGCACCATAAGCAAGCCTTTAATAAAAGGTAGAATGTTCAAGCTGGGGAGAAACTCTATGAATGTGGAAAAATACTTATTCAGAAAGCACACCTTGTTGTACATCAAAGAACTCACACTGAAGAGAAGCCTTATTATGAAAGCTCTGAATGTGCAAAAGCCTTCAGCCAAAAATCAACCTTCATACACATAAAATTGAAAAGCCCTATGAATGCAGTGAATGTGGGAAAACCTTTATCTAGAAGGCATCACTCATTAAACATTAGCAGATTCATACAGGGGAGAAACTTTATGGAAGTAATGAATGTGGAAATTCTTTCAGTGTGAAATCAACTATCATTGAACAGCACAGAACTCCCACGGGAGAGAAGTCCTGTGAGAGCAGAGACTGTGGCAAAGCCTTCAAGGGAAAGACATATCTCATTAAAAATCAAGTCATTTGGGAGGTAACATGTAAAACCTGTGAATAAACCTGTAAGTGGGATAACTATCCATTAGTTTTACATTGTCATACTATGCATCCAAATATTCATTCAAAATAATTCTGCAAATCATGAATCAGTCTTCAGAAAATTATGTACACTTTATTAGATTTAGGAAAACTCAATAGTATCATATTCAAAACATGGAATAAACATGATAAATTCTTCACTCAGAAGTTGTAATGTACTGTTCATCGAAGAATTTATGAAGGGTCAAAATCATGAATTAGTAAAAATTTATAAAGCCTTTGGAAAGAAGTTTAATGACATTTTATATCAGCACTTACATTTAGGAGACTCAATTTAGACTAAAGTCACAGAGCCCAGTTTTTCTGTACATTACTAGGAAGATCGTATCCCAGATGTGACATACATTTTCTAGAAAAAAAATCACGATTTTATTATTACATAAAAATTATACATTAGAAACATTTTCTTTGCAGACTTGGTTATAAAGCTGTTAAAAGTATAAATATGCCAGAAAGACAGAGAAAAAACATAATCCTTGTTAGGTCAGCCTGCAGATTAGCCTATAATAAAGAATCCCTAAATAGATTAGTTTGAGAGAGGATGAACAGGCAGGACCCCCCCAAAAAAAGAGAACCCAAGCAGGAGATCTTACACATATTTTAATCTATCAGTTCAAATGTACAAATATAGACAAAGTTTATACCCTTTCGGGATGCTTTGCCTAAAACAATGGTAAGAATTTATTCAGTCTTAATTAATTTATGATAGGACATTAGGTTCAAAGTTTTAGGAAAGATCCTGTAAGAACAATGTTAATTGAAATAAAAATTATAAGCAATCTGAATATCCAATGGTATGTGACTCATGATACATTGACAGTTTAGAACAGTATGCTGGCATTAATCAAGAATTTTGGAAATTTCAAGAAAGGTGACAAAATTGTGCTTTATGAACTATGTTATAAAATGACATAAAGAGTATGCACCATTATGATTTCAGTATCTGTGTTGTGGGAATATAAGCAAATCTTTTATTAGTAAAATTATAGACCTGTGATAATTTATTCCATTTATATTTATTTTATGTGTTTATCTTCACATGTATCTATGTAAAGACATGCATAGAAAAAAGGTAGGAAGAAAAATACATTCTATTAAGAGTCATATGTACATTGGAATTACTGTACTTTTTTTTTTTTGTCGTTTTTGAGACAGAGTTTCACTATGCAGTTCAGGCTGGCTTTGAACCTACTTTGTACCCCAGGCTGATCTGAAACTTGCAGCGACCCTCCTGTCTCAGCCTCCCAGATGCTGGGATTATAGGCATGTGCCACCATGCTTGGTCAGATTTATTGATTTTTAAATTTGATTATAATCTCAAGTTTCCAGAAAGTACCAGGAAGGATTATTTAAAATACCTTTTGCACAGGTTTTTCATTTTTCTTTGTGTCTACCCATTTTTCTATTCAGATGTATTTTCAATATATGACACTCTCCTTTCTATTCTGCACTGCTCATCTCACTTTGACATATTACTTTTCCTTATGGTTGTCTGTTCTCATTGTTCGAATAGTCCATATACCTTTCAGAGTGGAAATCTTATGATTTAGTACAGTGATTTTCTAAAGAAAATTAAAATATCTTCATACTTACTTTTATATTTCATCATCAAATCCTGTAACTAAGACATAAGCTACCAGATTTTACAGATAAGAAGCACTGCAGTGAGTCCTCAGTGGTCTCACAGGTAATAAGAACAAACATGCAAATCTAAACCTCTAAAAGTAATTGCTATTGCCTACTTGTTTTCTCTTTTCCTCTTTTGTCCTTTTTTCCTTATTACCAGTTCTCAAAATGCAGTGTGGTTGTAGTCTCTTAATAATGTTTATGTAAGTAAAGGCTTTTCAATTTATAAAAGCATTACATTGATGAATTCCTCTGATTCTCATGGCAACATTGTTAAGTATGGAAGAAAACAATAATGTCACCTCCTCCAACTACATAATTATCTTGATATTTAATAGGTGAAGAACAAAATCATAAGGATCTTGTTTAATTAAAACTCAGACTGTAAGTAGCGTAACAAGCATTACTTAGATTCACATTCCCTGTTTCCGCCATGAATCCAATTTGTGTGCTTTTCCATAAGGTCCTTCATCCCTTCAGACCTTACCCAATGGAAGAGAGGAGAGACCTGTGTGGTTACTTAATACCTTCTCATTATTGTCTTGGATTTAAATGTTTAATAAGAAAGTAATAAGCAGATTTCTATGTCCATGTACATTGTAGTTGGTTTGCCAGTCCAGAAATTATTCTGCAACAGTTAGGGTATAGAGAAAGATACATTGAAAAAAACATTTGAAAGTGTAACAGGTGTGGAAACAATGAGATCCAGATAAATTAAAATTGCAGAAAGTGAAGTGCCTTGTCTACACGAGCTGACAGTTGTTGTCCATGATCTTTTCTTGGAGGATTTGCTGATTCTCAGTGTGAGTGAGCTAAGAATGGGTTGTGGTCCAGGCTGCTAGACTTTACAAGGGGAAATAAATTCAGAAGAGGTTTTGGAAGTTATGTAGGGCTGTCTGTCTTAGAAACTAAAGAGCTCCAAGTACATGACTAGTTTTGTGCACAGGACATTTTCTAAGTTTGTGATGGTGTTAGGAGGTTAGGAGGCCAGGCCAGAAAAATAAAGTGAAAGTTTCTGCAGTCTCACTGTGCTTTGGAAACAGCCCCAGCAGAAGGGGGGCCTGCCAAGATCATGGAGAAAGAGGCTAAGAGCTCTCAGTTCAAAACCTATGAAGAGGAGTACTAAATCTTAAGCAGTTTTCTAGATCTGAAGAGACAGAGACCCAACAGGTTCTCAAGCAAAAGTACAGGAATAAAAACCTGAGGAACCATGATGAACAAGAGCTGAGTTGCTTTAACACTGCAAATGAGCCCTCGTTGGTTTGAGGTGATCACTTCTAACTTTACGTGTTGTAGAAGAAAAAGTAATCCCAGTCACCTCTACACTTTTTAAATACACAATGTCTCATATCAAAAAAAAAAAAAAAGATTACTAGATGTGACAAAAGGCAGAGGAATGCAGCTATGACAGAAAATGAACAAGCTGTGGTAGGTGGAATTCTAAGAATGACCTTCAAGGATGCTCTTTATACAATCCTGTCTACTCTGTGAGTGTTGGGACCTGTGAATATCTTACCACTTCTGCGATTATGTTACATTTTGTGGCCAAAGGAATGTTATATGAGTGAGAGTAATCTTTTCACTTGAGCCCTTTAAAGATGATTGTTTATCAGCTCGGTGGAAAAAGAGAAGCCACAGTGGAGTGATTCAACACAAAGGATATTTCCTGTTATTAAAATAAAGATGGCTCATGGCAAGGAATTTTAAGTGACCTCCAGGATCTGAGAGCACCCCTGACTGAGCCAATCAGCAAACGAGGACCTTAGTCCTACAACCACGAGGAATAGAATTCAACCAACAACCTGCATGAGCTTAGAAGCTGCTTCTTCCCAACAGCTGCTGTATAAGAGCCCAGCCTTACCTACACCTTGATAATTCCTTTGTGAGACAGAAGTCAGCTAGATTCACCTAGAATTCTGACCTGTAGACCTATCAGTTAATAAATGGCGTTCTTTCAAGCTACTAAATTTGTGGTGATTTATTTTGGCAGCAAAGGAAAACTAATACAGAATGCTTAAATGATTTTGAGTTTGGAATTGGTAGAGAACACTAAATTGCCATGCATCTAAAAGAAAGAAAATCAGTAAAAGATATAGGACTTGAAAATATTAGGCATCTCTAAAACTGGATAAAATATACTGTATATGCTACAACTGGAAAAACACAGTAGCCCAAAACTTAATGTATGAGTTTTAACTGTAGATGGGTCACAATAGAAAATAGGATTCACAAATTTGAAGACAATAGCTTTATCCCAGACAGGGAAAATGCAAGCAACATAGGCTCTTAACAGTGCCAGAGAGGAAAAGTCAAGGGACCAGACATAAAGACTCCAAGGTCATGCCTCCATGCCCCTCCTAGGTACACCCAAAAGTATGCTTTATTAATCTCCTGGGTGGCTCCCAAACTAATCAAATTGACAATTAAGTTTAACCATCATACACACCAAGGGATGAGATTAGTGACACCATTATGGAGCTAAAGAATGAGGAAATCACTTTTACATTGCTGGGACAATACCTGATACCTACAACTTTAAGGAGGAGAGATTTCATGGGCACCAGGCTCTAAGGGTGAAACATCATGGCAGAGGAAATCTCTTTACATCATGGTGGCTGGAAACAGCAAAACAACCAGAGAGAGAATGGAAGGAGAGGAGAGGTGGGGAGAAGTGAGAGGGAGAAAGAACAAGAACCAGAGAGAATAAGGGTAGTGGCTAGGGACAAGAATATACCCTCATAGGCAACACCCACAGTGACCCACCGCCTAATAGCATATTCACCTGCGAACTTACGGTGGACTAACCACTGATAAATATAGTGTCCCCGTGATCTAATCACTTTCCAAAGGCCCCACCTCTGAACACAAGGTATCTAGAGAACATTTTAGATCCAAGCCATCGGAAGTGGTGACTCTTACATGTTTAATTCATCAATCTAGCCAGAAGCCAGCTAAATCCTAGGTAATGACAACAGAATGTGCCAAGTTCAACCACAATGACTTCATAAACAAAAAATACTGCAGGTAATATTCCATACTTAGAAATGCTTTTCTGGCCCATATGCCAGGTGACATGAAATACCACCAGCTTTGAATGTGGCCTAGAGCAGGAAAGCTCTGAAGCAAGGCCAGGTTCTACCACAAGCAGCCTTGTTGCTTAAGATTATATGATTTGGCTAGTCTTATGTTGCTGAAGGTGTCACTAGTAGGAAAAGATGAAGTATAACAACAACATTCCTAGGTCTTTGGAACAAGCATGGAATGTACCACAGAGAATTATGGTACTTTTGAGAAACCACTATCTCCATAAACATTTTATTGTGCAGCTCCATTCCATTTATGGAATATCCCACAAAACTCAATTTTTAGTACTCATCTGTCATGTGTATTGTATTTTGGGCTACAGGACTTAGCATAGCATATAGTAATTTAAGTGTCTGTAGCAGAAATAATGTATGGAGCTTGCATAGTGTGTGTGTGTGTGTGTGTGTGTGTGTGTGTGTGTGTGTGTATGTGTTAGTACAATCAGGAATTTGAGGCAAAGCACCATCATCTTCTCTAGGTAACTTCGTTAGAGGAAATGCTTCTGCTTGCTATTGGCCAAAACCCTTTGCACTTACCCAGTCCTACCCATCAAAATTAATAACTATAGTACCTAGAATTCTAATACCAGAGAGAAAGGAAACTCCACAGATAAGATATTATGTTTGAGACCCTAGAAAAACAAATAAAGAACTATTATACACTGCAAAAATTTTAAGCTATTTTAAAAAGTAATAATTAGAAATAACTCATGTAGTTCATCATATTCAATTATTTTAAAAATTCACGAATTGTAAGTCCTTGAATCACTTGTGGATATGCTTCTAACTGTTCACTTTTTCTTAGTTCTGACTCTGGGTACATCTGGAAATTTTTGATTGCCACTGTGCATGAAAAACTGTACAAGTTCTAGACAGGCATTAGTTTCTGACAGGAAATTATAGTGGGGGCAAATAACCTCAATTCAGTTGTCTACCAATAGGATACCAATATTTGTAAGATCCAGTTTGTGTTGCCCCTGCCCCCTCCAATTCCTAGGTAAAGTCCTTCAGATGTTCTAACTGAAGACCTGTGGTGTTTACCAAGGCCCATCATCACTAGTGGGATCTGACCTCCAATTTTGATTCCTTGGCACATAATTCTGTCAAAAGCTCTACACTTGGCCACAGTGCACCACCAAATCTGTCCCATGCCATTCACTATTGGACTTGTGTTTTTCTTCATGTTTTTTTGTCTCCAAAACTTGCCAGTCAAATCCACTCTCTTAGCTCAAGGTTCCCTCAGAAGCTAGCTATAGTTCCTTACCATAGACACTTCCTCAATATGCTTACTCCTT